TTGGGGAAAATCTTGGTAGAAAAGACCCTCAAAAATCACAACGTTGTGATAATTGCACATTTAAACACATACCCTTATATACAGAGCAATAGAAAGATCATAAGAAACAAACTACCAAAGAACTGAAAAATAATTATGCCTAGCTGGTAATAGTAAGTGAATAGTGTTGGTGTATGAGGGGGGCATAGTAGATTGTCCAGCTTTATTGAGGATCAATATACTGGTATTTGTTAGTTCCACAGGTGAATATACAAAGAAAATGGAAATTTTTGATTGATTGATTTTTAAGCAAATGAGATACAGGCTTGCTATGCCAAAACTTTGCATTAAAAACATTTTAGGAAAGATGAATATCAAACTCCAAAAGGGTAAGAGCTTAATCAATCCTGTCAATTTGAAAGAGCCATAGACAATGGCTCTTGCTTATGGCAGGATATGGGACAAAATTGGATAGAGTTTGTGTCTCTGGATGGATAATTATTTCTTTGGCACTGTTACTTCTTCAAAGCACACTTTAATAAAATAAATGTTTGGAAACATGGCATTTAAATAATGGATTGAAGCTGTATTTCCCACATCTCACCAACAGGTTGTTTGCTGCTTAAACTTAAATAAAATGAAACTCATGAAACTCCATGAAATACTCTTGGGAATAAAGGTGACTAATTCTATTCTTTCCTATGTGTGTGTGGGCAAATAAAAAAAAGACTCAAGTATACAAACACCTTCATTTCCTACCAGCTCTGGTTTCAACTATAGGTAAGCAATTTTCTAAATCTCATTGGGTACAAAAATTAAAGTTCTGGGTTTCATTTCTAAATATGGTAACTCTGTAAGCAAGTAATAATATTCAGCTAAACATTTTTAAAATTAAAATAATATATGGCTATGCTTAAAATTCTCATTTCTTTTCATAAAAAAGATTTGCACAGAAACTTTTAATTAAGTGTATAGTACAGGGCGGGGCATAACCTTTTCCTAGGGGGTCACAGCAAGATCTCAGGCAGTTCACAACTTCCGCGACACCTCATTTTAAAGCCAAAAAAAAACTGGAGGGAATGGNATGAAAGTCTTTTTGTAACCAACTGATACACTTTCTACAGCATGTAAAGAAGGATTGTGTTTGTTTTAAATTAATTTTTTTTTAAAGAAAAAAATGGGTATTCAAACATGACAGTTTTAAAACTTGTGGACTTCAACTCCAAGAATTCCTCCCTCAAGTCATGTTGGCTCAGGAACTCTGGCATTTTAAGTGTGCTAGTCTTAAAGCTGTCAAGTTACAGCACCCTTGCACCCCTAACCGTTTAGAAAAAAAACCCAGGGGTGTTCAAACTTGACAGCTTTAAGACTTATGGACTTCAGCTCCCAAAATTTTTCCTTCCCTCACTCAGCTGCTGTCGCCAGAATGCCAACAGGACAAGAGAGATTTTGGGAGGGACCTTCCCTCCTCCTCCAGAGAGCCCATGCCAGGAGAGACGAAGAGTGTTGGTTTGAATGCTGGAGATCGGGCGTTTTAGTGGCCAGTGAGTGCCTCCTTCACTCGTTCGGCCAGGCAGAGAAAGAAAGAAGGCACACGATAGCAGAGGGCGAAGAAGCCTGCCGCCTGCCTCCTTCACATGTTCGGGCTGTGAGGGTGCTTTCTTGCACACCTTCTTTCTTTCTCCACCTCCTCCTTCACTTGTTTGGCCAGGTAGAGAAAAAAAGAAGACGTGCGATAGCCGAGGGCGAAGGAGCTTGCTGCCTGCCTCCTTCACGCATTCGGGCAGTGGGGGTGCTTTCTTGCACACCTTCTTCCTTTCTCTACCTGCCTCTTTCACTCGTTCAGCCAGGCGAAGAAAGAAAGAAGGTGTGCGAGAAAGCACCCCCACTACCTGAACGATTGAAGGAGGCAGCCGGCAGGCTCCTTCATCATCGGCTATCACGTACCTCTTTTCTTTCTCTGCCTGGCCAAATGAGTGAAGGAAGTAGGTGGAAAAAGAAAGGAGGCATGCGAGAAAGCACCCCCACTACCTGAACGATTGAAGGAGGCAGCCGGCAGGCTCCTTCATCATCGGCTATCACGTACCTCTTTTCTTTCTCTGCCTGGCCAAATGAGTGAAGGAAGTAGGTGGAAAAAGAAAGGAGGCATGCGAGAAAGCACCCCCACTGCCTGAACAAGTGAAGGAGGCACTGCTGCCCACCCGCATTCAAACCAGGCCGCCTCGTCTCTCCCCACACGGGCTCTCTGAAGGGGAAGACCTGCTTCCCCTACCTCGCGGCACAATTCTGGGACAGTGGGATATTCTTTTTTTCGCCGCTATGGCGGCATAGCCTCAATCTCTACCTTTCTGCTGCCTCCAGTCCAGCCCCACGCAATCTCCCCACCACCCAATCAACCTGACACTCCCGGCTACAGTTGGCATTCTCCTAGCGATCCTTCCTGGCTGCGTCACATGGTGGCATGTCGGCTGCTGACTGACCCAGGACCTGCCCAGATGCCCAGAGAGGAAGGATTGGCAGGAGAAAGCCAACTGCTGCCGGCAATGGGATACAAAGGAGCAGCCTCCTAGCAGCTACCGCGTCCAGTTGCAGGCACCAGGATGGCCTCAATCTCATACCTCCCTGCACAACCTCCCTGCCAACCCACTGACCTCAGAACACTCTGCTGGACAGCCTCTCCTTCGTGTAGCTGTTGCCGGATGCAGCCACGTCCGGGCAGGAGCTGCCTCCAGAGCGGTCACATGGCAGTGGCGCGTGGGCTGCTGACCAACCCAGGGCCCGCCCGGTTGCTTCTGGAGGGGGCAGGCAGATTAGCAGCATTCCCTCCCACCTCCCTGGCCACCTACAGCCTCAGAGCCTCGGCTGTGCAGGCAAAGGAAGTGAGTGGGTGGGGCAAACATGGTGTGGACGGGCAGGGGGAGTGAGCAGCAAACAGGTGGGTGGGTGAAGTGAGCAGGGGGCAGGCCAGGGGAGGGAGCATTCCAGTACGGGGCCTCCGAAAGATCAGGTCCAGGGAGGCATGCTAAATGTCACCAACCAGTACGCCTGTATCAGTATGTACCGGCTGAAAGCCACCCCTGAACTGTTACTACCCATGCTTTCCATTTGCCGAGAGCTGTTATCAAAAAGAGGAGCTTTCACTTAGGAGCATGGGCAAAGAGTGAAGGTTATTGAAATACACTATGCCATGTGTCTAAGTACAGGGCGGGGCATAACCTTTTCCTAGGGGGTCACAGCAAGATCGACAGCAGTTTACAACTTCCGCGACACCTCATTTTAAAGCCCATAAAAAACTGAATTGAATGAGCTATTAAATGTTAAATTTGCTTTAAGAATGGCTGGAAAATTCGATTCGGAAGAACAAAGGATCATTGACAGAATAAAATGCATTGCCTTTCGAGAGGCTCGCGATGCTGGAGCGACGTTTATCAATCGAAAATGGATTGCAAACAAATTGAAACGTCATCCGGATTGGGTTACTGATAATTGGAACAAAACAGCCCAAGAATGTTTCACAAAATTTGGAGAAGGGCGTCCTCTGCAACTGTCCCAAGAAAGCAAAGCCATCATTGCAACTGGCAGTCGCAAACAACGAAAAGGAAACCGAAAAGTGGCCCAAGAAATCCTTCAAATTCGTGGAAAACGAGTTGATCAAAGGACAATCGGCCGATATCGAGAACGAGAAGGTTTGAAGCCATTCCACGTCATTTGCAAACCATTGAAAACTCAAACACACATTCAAGATCGGCTTTGGTTGTGCGATTGGTTGTCTGAATGGACCGAGGAAGATTTTCTTCATTTGGCGCCATCTGACGAATTCTTCGTTTATGCCATTCGAAAACCGAATTTCCAGAACGATCGAATTTGGGCTAAAGACGTCGACGACATCGCCAAACATGAACGATATCGACAAATCGTTCGCAATCCGACTTGCATCGGGATTTTCGTCATTTTCACAGCCAAGAAACTGCATTGGGTTTTGAAGGATAAAGGGGAATCCTGGGATGGCAGTTATTTCCGTGAGAAAATTTTATTGGAGAATGTCATTCCATTTCTCAGTGATCCAGACAATGTCTTGGTGGTTGGTGAGGCTGTCTTTCTTCATGACAAAGCTCCTTGCATGCGTGCAAATGCGACTCAGCAATTGTTAAAGGAAAACAATGTCGAATTTTGGGGCAATGACGTCTGGCCGGGAAATTCGCCAGATCTCAATCCGGCAGAGAACATTGGGGCCATAATTAAGGATGAAGTGGAAGCTCTGATGATTCAGGAGCAAGGTCAAAATCGATATTCGGTTGAAACTTTGAGAATGAATTTGGAAACTGTGTTGAAAAATCTGGAAAATCGAACGGAACTGTTTGAAGATTTGTTGTGTTCTTATCCACCTCGTTTGAATGCTGTTCGAAGGGCTAATGGTGGTCATACTGACTATTAAATCGTGTCAATAAACTCAGTTTTTGATGGGCTTTCGAATGGTGTATGAATTATTTGTGTTGTTATTACAAGTGTTGCTGTGACCCCCTAGGAAAAGGTTATGCCCCGCCCTGTAGGTCATGACTACGCAGAAAAGATTGCTATTCATCCACCAAGAAATGCAAAGCGAAAAGCCAATAGCAATAGCAATAGCAGTAGACTTATATACCGCTTCATAGGCCTTTCAGGCCTCTCTAAGCGGTTTACAGGGAGTCAGCATATTGCCCCCAACAATCTGGGTCCTCATTTTACTCACCTCGGAAGGATGGAAGGCTGAGTCAACCCTGAGCCGGTGAGATTTGAACCGCTGAACTGCTGATCTAGCAGTAGCCTGCAGTGCTGCATTTAACCACTGTGCCACCTTGGCCCAATTGTTTTATATATCAGCTTTCTTTGGAATCACAACTTATCACTGAATGCAAATCAACATTCTAGATTTTATATGCACATGTCATTATGAATTTAGTAATTTAAAATAAAGCAATGGAAAAGAATACATCTTATAACACAGACAGCCATAAGAATCTGGAGGCAGAACAACTACTTACATTTCTCGCAGATTATAAAGATAACTCAAAGAGCTAGAGTTGATTGAAGACAACCTATTATGGCTTAGATCACTGTAAAGTAAAAGAAAATCATGAATACTCATCAAAATGAGAGATATTTCAAAATAATCTAAATATATTTTGATTCGTATCTATCTCCTTCCATTCTCCTTCAGCAGTTCATATGATAGCCTTTCATATACTTTTATATGATGTATATCACGTGCATACAACTCAAAAGCTATTTTCATAGGAGCATAAAACAATAAAATAAAGGCCAGCATGGCAATAATTGTCCTGTGTAGTATATAAATCTTGGCAGCATAGGAGACCAAAGGCACATCTGATAAATAAAGCTAATGTTGTCTTTCTATTTATAGTTTTTACTTGATGTGTCTAAATTTGTGGTATATGGATGTATTGATGTTGGGTGGCATGGAAACTTCTTCCATTCATATGTCTCCGTATCATTAATTCTTACATATAAAATGGTTAACATACAGTATGCAATACCAAGAATGAAAAAAAAAACCCTGAATAAATACTTCAGCTTCAAGACATAACTCATTTCAGATTCAGTAATGAATAAAACTGCTCAATATGCCAAAGAAATCTATTTCCTGCAAGATCATATGTTTATTTCTCGGGTACATGTTCTTAATGGGTATATATCTATACCTTCTGGAAGAAATGAAAAAATGCATGAAAATAATAGATCAATATTATATAAGTGGTTTTAAAAAAGCTCAGAATAAAGACCATCCTGATCTATACTAATATTTATTTAGTATTGTTTATACCAGGGGTAGTCAACCTTTTTATACCTACCGCCCACTTGTGGGCTTTCCAGCTTTCATGGTGGGCGGTAGGGGTTTTGTCCGA